AAGAAAATACATATGATGTCACTTGTATGTGGAATCTAAAAAAGAAAACAAACGAACTTATTTGCCAAACAGAAACAGACTCTCAGACATAGAGAACAAGCTTGTGGTTACCAGGGGGAAGGTGGGTGGGAAGGGATAAATTGGGAGTTAGAGATTTGCAGATACTAACTGATACAGACTAGATAAACAACAAGTTCTTACTGTATAACACAGGGAACTATATTCGATATCTTGTGGTAACTTATGGTGAAAAAGAATTTGAAAAGGAATATATGTGTGTTCATGCATGACTGAAGCACTGTGCTGTACACCAGAAATTGACACAACATTGTAAATTGACTTATGTCAATAAAAAATGTATATACTAAAAAAAAAAAAAAGGCAAGAGAATGCCCAGGAGTGGTGTGGGAACCTGGGTTGGAGGAGGAAAGACTGGATAATCGGAAGGAGGGATCAAAGTGTTGGGGTGGGGGCAGGAGAAGGGGGATGTCTAGGCCGCCATGCCCGGTGTCTGGGGCCTTGCTCATCTGCAGCCTGTGCTTGCTTTGAGATCGTCCCTCCTTCTCCCATCCCCATAAATTGGCCTAAATGACCCTGTGCACACCTTGGAAAGGTCAGCTTCCTTTTCACGTGGGGCTCTGAGACACAGTCCTATCTTTCATTATTGACGTTGGCAAGAGAGCTTTCGGTTGCTCAGAAGAGCAGTGAGTCTCTCTGGGCAGCTCCAGAAAGCTTGTTTAGGATACGTTTCCCCTGCAAGAAGTTGTTTTTAATGATGCTAATATTATGAAGAAAACCGGCAGAGAATCTCAGGAGCAGGTGCCGGAGAGGGGCCGGGGGTGCAGAAGGCAGCTGCTGGTTGAGCCCTGCTTTTCCTGTTTGCTGTGTTCTGAGAGCAGCTGTGTGATTCCTGCGCCCCCATGAGTCGGCCCGGGTGCGTGACCGCCTCTCCCTCCCCGTGTGCCAAGGCCCAGCCAGTCCTCACTGCGGTGAGAGTATCAGACTCGGGGGCTGCTACCCAGACCTACTGGAAGTTTCCAGATGGTGAAACAGTGCCAGCTTATGTGTTGGTAAAGCTCAGAAAGGCCACCCTGGGCTTTGATAATGGACGTTACACAAAATGCTGCGTTCTGCGTGTTGTCTTTGTGCATGTGATAGCCCAAGGTGGTTTATTTGAGACTTGGATGAAAAAAACACTGCCTGATGGACTTCCTTGAGGGTGTGATGTGAAAAAGGGAAGCTGGAGGTTCTGTCCTCTAAACCCATCTTTGGGATTCAGGAACCGAGAGGAACCAGCCAGTGAAAACACAAGCTGCTCCTTTTATCTGAAGGTTACCACTGTGGCGGCTGCTCGCGAGGGGGCAGGGTATGGGGGCTGGCATCCCATTCTGCTTTCCCGGGGAACCTCTTGTCTCCAGGCATTTGCCAGGCATTGCTCCTCGTAAAGGACAGCCTTTCCAACTCAGGACCTTTGCACGTGTGACTCTCATTACCCTTTGGTCTCTAGCCATCCTTTAATAGTTCATTTAGATGAACAGGAAGGATGTAAGGTAGGAAAAAAAAAGAAGGAATGGAAAAACTCTTTCTCTGTGGTAGCTAAGTGGTGGATGCTTCTTGATACCTGACACTGTTACAGATATTTTACTTGCTAGCTCCCGGCTGGCCCTGTGAAGGTGGTGTTGGTTCTTCTTTCTGAGCCCACAGAATAGCAGGAAAACACACTGGTCTCACAAGCCTGGGCAGCCATAGATGAGGGGCCACTGAGCTCAGATGTGGAGAAGAGCACAGCCAAGGGGCGTGATGCTTAGATCATGGGAAACACTCTCCCATCTTTATTTTCTTCATTGTCTTATGTACTTTTTGCTATTTTTCTTTTTCTATTTTGACGTGAAATAGAGCCCAGGGTCTCCTTCTGTTCTGTTTATTACATTATCTGTAATGCTGATTTCCAATAAAAATGATATGATCAAGCCAGGCTTCATCTTATTTTCCTCAAAAAGAGAGAGACAGAGATTATTACTTTATTTTTGACTTGATGAAACATCACGAATCCCATGACATACATATTTCTTGTTACAACTTTTCCACCATCGAAATGAACGCCTTTTGACTTATTCTTTATTATAGTAGTTTTATTCATTTGTCTAGACCACATAGATCAATTAAGCGCGTGGTGAATTTGAAAGGAATTAGCTCACAGGAGAGTTGGTATTGTCTGAAGAACAGATCGAGGCTTTTCTATCCCAGACCAACATTTCTTAGCTTATTCTCATAGTGTTGGCTACTCTTGATTGATCTTAACCTGCGTCCTGGCTGCACACGTTTCATGCAACATCACGTTTAATCTTTACTGCAACTCCATGAAGTAAGAACTGTTATCACCTTTATTCTCCTGATGGGAAAAACTGAAGCTCAGATCATTTTTTTCCCATGGCTCTAGAGGAGGGGGTTGGCAATAAAAACCCTTTTAGGGGGTTTCCTATAAAATACCAGAAAGTAAATATTTTGGGTTTTGGGGGCGGCACTCGCTCTGTACTGACTACTCAGCCCTGCTCTTGCAGCACTAGAGAGGCATAAAAAATGCAAAAGCAAACAAGGGTAGCTGTGTTCCAAGGAAACCTTATTTATGGACTCTGGTATTTGAATTTCATATAATTCTCTCAGGTCACGGACTGTTATCATTCTTTTGATTTTTTTTCCCCAACCATGAAAGAATGGAAAAACATTCTGCACTTGCAGGCTTTACAAAAACAGATGGTGGGCTGGATGTGCCGACCCCAGTGCGGACGATGAGAGGATGCAGGGAAGGAGGGAGAGGTGAGGCTGACGTGATGGGAAGAATACTCCTGCAGAGGGGAACAGTATGTGTGCAGGTTGCAGGGAGCAAGACATGTTTGAGGAGCTGCAGGAAATCCAAGTACAGCTTGATAGGCTATGAGGTGAGATAAGAGGAGATGGCAGAGCCTAAGGCATAACTTCGCAGGACATTTTAAGGATTTTGGACTTTGTCCTCGGAGCAATCGAAAGCTATTTTAAAGTATTAAGGAAAGGAAAGACAAGGGCAGTTTGTTTTTTTAAAACATTGTTGGCTGATGTGTAGAGAATGGATTGCAACAGGTTAGTAAGAGTAGAAGAAAAAAATACAAAGCAAAAACCAAACAACAGGATGCTCGAGAAGTGGTCCAGGTGGGTGATGTTTTGGTATCTGTCAGTGAGTAGCCAGAACCACTTCCTGAGGACAACTTCAGGCAGTGGGGATGATCAGTTTTGCAGATGAGGAAAATATGTCGGAGAGAGATGAAGTGTCTTGCTGGCAACAATTGGAGGCAGAGCAAAGATGAAGACCTTTGTGTCCTGGCTTCAAATCCAGTGCCTTTTTTTCTGTGTTGAGTGATGTTCTTAATATTCTCAAATGAAAGTTATGTTTTATTCTAATCTGCCATTTCTCTCTGGACCTCACAGCTGAAGAGCTACCCCTCTCCCTCACGCGATGCGTTTCTTCCCGAGAGAGCGTGCGTACAAATGAGGACAGTGTTTCTTGGGTTGAGTAGTTAACTTTCATTTCCCGAGGTAATTTATTTCATCGTCGAGGGAGGTTAAACTCTTGTTCAAATCATAGAAATGCCAAAGAAAGGACTGTGGTAATGGTCTTATGTTACCTTTGTGCCAGTGTTAGAAAGGGAACTGAATACTTACTTAAAGGTCAGCTCTTCTTGGAGCTTGTGAAGCTTCCTTTCCCAAACGAGAATTGGATACATTCTCTGCTATGTTCGGAGGAGTGACTCATCTGACTGGGGGCTCAGAATCACCCTCTATTCTGACACTGACATGCATCTCTGGCTCAGAGCAATCATCTTTTGAGCAATGTAATGCCAAGGGGTTGGAGTCTGGTTCCCTGGAGTTCAGGACTGAGCCTGGGGAGGAAAGGAAGAGGGAAAGGTAAGACTCATTGCCTGGGCAGCAGGGTGGTGGGGATTTTGTCTCAGTTTCTCTGGGGGTTGTGCCTAGAGGCAGTGGTGAGTGGTACTTGATCCATGGTGGGTAGGGGGCAGGGGAGTTTCAGAAAGTTCTTGGTGGGTGTGGGACCCAGTGATTATACTGCTCAGTGAATCTTCATTTTGGCTGGTACTTCATCCAGATTTTCCCTTATGTTACTGTTATTTGTCACTTTGTATTCTTTCCCCATTGTTAGGGAAGGTCTGTGGGGTCCTGGTCTGTGTCTGTAGTGTCTATTCCTGTCCCACAATGTGCAGTGCCTCACATGCAGCAGATGCTCAGGACTGAATGCTGGCTCGGTGGACTTGCCACCTCTAGCGTCCGTGTTGCACAGTGCAATCTCTTCTCCTAAAGAAGTCGGCATTTTTAAACCTAAAATCATCTCATGCAAGGCATTGGGACATCCTGAAGATAGGACAAATTTCAGGAGTTAGCAGTCGCCAACATTGGGATTTGCACCGAGGATCTTCTCCAGTTATGTCACGTTTATGGTCTGCTCGTCTTTTCCCCACCCCGTTTCCCTACACTTAGGCCTCGGGTCTTAATTGGTGCAGGGTAGGAGCTTAATTGACATCACCTGAGTGACTTCTCTTCTGACCCTGAATTTATTTATTCTCTGTAGCTCTTTACATACTAATGCAGGGACAGGTGGTGAGGCTGACGGTGTGAGCTCAGAGATGTTGACACGCTCCCTGCTTCCCTTCCTTCTTTCAATCAGTTATTGAAGGTTGTTTGTGTGCCGGGCATTGGGTTAAGTTCAGCGGGACAACCACCAAAGAAGACATGGTGTCTGGCTGCAGAGGCGTGCCAGGCTAGTGGAGAGGGGAAAGGAAATGATGGCCACTTGGGCTGAGGCAGGGGCAGCCAGGGAAGGCCTCCCCCTGACCTGGGGGCTTGGACCTCCTTCTCCTGCTGACCTCTTGAACGTGGTGGTCAAGAGCAGTGGGAGCACCTGCTGTGGGTGAGCACACAGACCCGACTCTTTCCTTTCCCCATGTGTGCAGGTGGAGATGTCTGCGCAGAGGCTGATCTCTAACAGAACGTCCCAGCAATCTGCATCTAATTCTGATTACACCTGGGAATATGAGTATTATGAGATTGGACCAGTTTCCTTTGAAGGACTCAAGGCTCACAAATGTAAGTCTTATGCAGTTCTCCATTGTAAGTATGTGTTTGCCTTAACCTATGAAATCCCCAGTGGTTTTTGTTCCCGAACTTGCTGTCTTTTTATAGAAATCTGTCCTCTACCCCTCAGACACTGAGAAAACACTCCCTCCAAGTGTAGCGTCTTTGCTCAAGGATATAACATGAGTGACAAAGAACTTGAAAGGTTCCCTTCGTTGGGGAACATGGGTTGAGGTTACTTTCAAACTGAGGTTAAAACCAAGATCAATGATTCCAGCTCTCCAAAACTGTGGGGACATTGGGACTATCAAAATAGAATCTGGAACTCTTATTTGAAGAACTTTCTTTTGCAACAGTCCACGGCATCCTTTCCACCGTGCTGGTTTTCCAGGGCTGTTCAGGCAAGTCCGCTTGGGTGTGTTATTAGGAGCAGACCAGAATAGCCTGCGGTTATTCCCAGCTCCGTGTTACAGGCATGGACTGTGCTTCATGTTATTGGAGTGATTAATGATCCAGCACAGAGAAAGGAAATATAATTCTATGAAAGGTGACTGTCCAACTCTAGCCATGGCTGCACGCTGCCTGGCTGCCATGAGGCAGTTTCCTTAAGGAGAGTTGCCGTAACAAGCAGGAACTGCCGTCCACTTCCCGGTCCTGTCCTGGTGACCCCATCGACGTTCGAGAGATGTTTGGTTCTCTCAGAGTGAGTAACTGCAGCACCATAAAAGTGGTAGGTTCTTAACCGGCTCGGAGTCATGGGGCACATGAGGAAATAGAAGAGAGATTAGAACTGGAGGCGCAAATGTGGCAAAGAAACTGGTTTCCCGCCGTTAGTGTTTCCTGGCCGCTGCCACTCAGGGCCGCCTTGGCATTCGTGACCCCTCACCCCTTCTTGCTGCTCCCTTGTGAGATGGCCTTTCTTTTTTTCAGCTTTGTTGAGGTATAATTGACAAATAAAATTGTAATAAAGTGTACGAAACAGACACAGTATGTATATATTGTGAAAGAATGCTTCGCATCGAGTTAATTCACACTTCCATCACCTCAGATACATGTATTTGTTTGTTTGTTTATTTGCTTATTGGTGAGAACATATATTGCAAATTTCAGTTGTACAAGCCAGTGTTACCAACTATACTTTCCATGTTATACATTAGGTCCGCAGACTTTATTCACCTTATAGCTGAAAGTTTGTACTTCTTTTTACCAACTTCTCCCTATTTCCCTCACCCCGAGCCCTTGGCAACCACTCTTCTACTCTCTGTTTCTATGAATTTGACTTCTTTTTTGTTTCGATTCCATATATAAGTGATACTGTGCACTATTTATCTTTCTCTGTCTGGCTTATTTCACTTAATATAATACCATCCAGTTTCATCCATGTTGTCATAAATGACAGCATTTCCTTCTTCTTAAAGGCTGTATAGTATTCAAATATCTATCTGTCTATCTATCTGTCTGTCTGTCTATCTATCTATCTATCTATCTATCTATCTATCTATCTATGTATCATTACATTTTCTTAATCCATTTATCCATTGATGGACAGTTAGATTGTTTCCATACCTTGGCTATTGTGAATATTGCTACAATGAACATGGGAGAATAACCATCCTCTTCCAGATAATGTTTTTGCTTCCTTTGGATATATATCCCAAATTGGAGAAGCTGGATCACATGGTAGTTCTGTTTTTAATTTCCTGAGGCACTTCCATACCACTTTTCCATAGTGGCTGTACCAGTTACATCGCCACCAACAATGTACGAAGGTTCCCTTTTCTCCACATCCTCACCAGCATTTGTTATCTCTTGTCTTTTTGGTAATGGACATTCTCACAGGGGTGAGATGCCATCACCTTTAAGTGATGCTGAGCACCTTTTCATGTGCCTGCTGGCCATTTAGATGTCTATTTTGGAACAATGTCTATTCAGGTCTTTTGCTCGTTTTTAAATTGGGTTTTCTTTTTGCGGCTGAGTTGTGTGAGTTCCTTGTATATTTTGGGTATTAACCCTTTATCAGATAGGTGGTTTGCAAACGTTTTCTCCCCTTTCAAAGATTTCCTCTTCATTTTGTTGATGGTTTCTTTTGCTGTGCCGAAGCCCTTTAGTTTGATGTAGTCCCACTTGTTTATTTTTGCCTTTGCTGCCTTTGCATTGGGTGTTAAATCCCAAAAAATCATTACCAAGAGTGATGTCAGGAAGTACTGGGGATGTAATGTACAACATGATAAATATAATGAGCACTACTGTATATTATATATGAAAGTTGTTAAGAGAATATTTCTTAAGAGTTCTCAACACAAGGGGGAAGAAACAATAAAATGAAAAGAAAATACAAAAAAACAAGAAAGACGTTTTCCCCTGTGTTTGTGACCATTATTTTGAACTCTCACTTATCTCTATTTCACTAATATCTGTTTCTGGAGATTTATCTTCTTCTTCGGTTTGGCACGTGTTTCTCTAGCTCATCGTTCTCCTTTACTCTCTATGTGGGTTTCCACGCACTGGATAAAACAGCCGGCTTAACAGTGTTGGAGATGAACCTTACCATTCAGCCAGGCCTGAGCTCCTGGTTATTGCTTGTGGTTACCATGAGGTTTGCATATAACATCCTATGTGTATAATCGTCTGTTTTAAGTTGATAACAACTTGAATTTAAACACATCCCAGAAGGTTACATTTTTTTACCCTCCCCTCATGTTTTATATTTTTGATAATCCCTTTTATATCATTTTATTTTATGCATCTTTTAACTAATTATTGTAGTTTTAGTTAATTTTACTACTTTTGTTTTTTGATTAAAGTTGCTTTATAAGTGATTGGTCCATTACCTTTACTATAGATTTACCTTTTCCAGTGAGATTTTTGCTCTGGTACATTTTTGTGTTATTAATTAGTGCCATTTCTTTTCAACTTAAAGTCCCTTTGACGTCTTTGTAAGTCTGGCTTAGCGGTGATGGATTCCTTTAGCTTTTGTTTATCTGGGAAACTCTTAATCTCTCCTTCAATTCTGACTGATAACCTTACCAGATAGAGAATGTTTGGTTGGAATTTTTTTCCTTTCAGCACTTTGAATATATCATACCACTCCCTTCTGGTCTGCTAAGTTTCTGCTGAAGAATCTACTGATAGCCTTATGGGGTTTCCCTTTCATTTAAGAAGTCTTTTTCTCTTTTTGCATTTAAGATTCTCTCTTTGTCTTTACTTTTGACTTTTATCATTTTAATTATGATGTGTCTTGGTGTGGCTCTCTTTGGCTTCATTTTATGTGGAACTCTCTGAACTTACTAAACCTGAATGTGTTCCCTTCTTCAGACTAGGAATGTTTTCAGCTATTATGTCTTCAAATAAGCTTTCTGGCGTTTTTCTCCTCCTTCTGGGACCTCTGTGATGGGAATGTTATTCTTCTGGACATTATCCCAAAGTTCCCTTAAAATATCTTTTACTTTGTAAAATTCTTTCTAATTTTTGTCCCTCTGTCTTGATGAGCTCCATGGCTTTCTCTCTCTGCTTTCTGATCTGCTCTTCTGCTTCATCCAGTCTGCTGTTGGACCCCTCTAGTTAATTTTTCAGTTCAGTTATTGTATTCTTCAACTCTCTAACTTCTGTTTAGTACTTTCTTATATTTTCTCTTTCTTTGTTGAAGCTCTTACTGCACGCATCCAGTGTTCTCCCAGGTTTGGTGAGCATCTTTATGACCAAAGCTTTGACCTCTTTATCAGGTAGATTGCTTATCTCCATTTCATTAAGGTCTTTATCTGAGGTTTTTGTCTTGTTCTTTTGTTTGAGACGTATTCCTCTGTCTCCTCATTTTGCCTGATTCTCTGTGTTTATTTCTATTATATAGGGCAAAAAAGCTACTTCTCTTAGTCTTGAAGGAGTGGCCTCGTGCAGAAAATGTTCTGTGGGGCTCAGAAGTGCTGGCTACCCATGCTAGGCACTCGAGGGGTGTCCCCTGCATGGGCTGCATGTGCTTGCCTGCTGCCGTGCAGGAGTGGGCTGGGCAGGACCTGAGGCATGCAGCTGTGGCCCAGGGGCGGACTGGACTCTCAGGGGCACACCTACTGGCACTAGCAAGTTAGAGGGAGAGTTCCAAAGTGGCACCCGTTGGTGCTGGCATTAGTAAGGAAGAACGAGATCACACAAATGGCATCTGCCAGGGTTTCCATCATTGGAAAGAGTCCCAACAGGCTCCTGCCTCTGCAGCAGGTGCTCTAAGATTGTGGGTCGCTGCACCTAGGGTAGGGATTTTTTTAAATAATTTTTTTAGGTGAGACTGTTTCTGCCTCTCCTAACTGTCTCAATACCGTCTTTTTATCTTTTGTTGTGGCAGCTCAGCTTGTCTAGTTTTTGGCTTTTTTAGAGGAAACGATTCCGTAGCTTTGTTGTGTCTGTGGGAGGAGATGAATTCAGGCTCTCCCTACACCACCACCGGCGCTGCCTCCAGTGGGCTCCAGCGGTGTGGTCCCAGCCCTCCCTCAAGGAGAGCGCGGGAGCTGGGGGTTACCTCTCAGTGCGTGTTGCTGTGCTGGGGCTGGGGCTTGTGGTAACAGTGTGTCTCAGCCCTTCCTCCTCATTTGAATGTGGGTGTTTTCTCATTTGTCAGACGTGGGGGAGTCGCTCAGCCAGTTTCCGGATCTCTTTCAGAAGAAATGGCTCCACGGGTAGCTGTCTATTTGGTGTGTCCGTGGGAGGAGGGGAGCTCGGGGGCTCCCTAAGCCTCCGTCTAGGGCAGCTCCCAGTTCCATCTGGTTAAGTGCTCAGCCTTTGTTCCCGCTTCCTCATTGCAGGAAGGACCGCAGGAGCCCAGGCTTCGCGTGCGGGTCCTGAGGGTCTGGAGGCCTGGCTGCTGGTGCCTGTAGCAAAGCGTCTGGCTGGACAATGAGAGTGACGGGGCAGCGATTCTCTGGCCGGTTCCTGCCTTCTCGTCTCCATCGATGGGGCTGTAAAGGGCTTCGGAGTTACTAATTTCCTGAATCAAGAGCGTTCTATTTTTATTCCTTAAAAATCAT